AAGGAGAAAATTAGTTTTCTAGGAGGTAATGAAGGAACGGTCTCGCCGAAATACAATTTTTTTCCAAGATGGCGTCATGTCACTGAACATGTGCGCAAGATAATTTGTCCAAAATACTGTCAACAATTTTTTGTTGCAGAAACCTTACAATATACCTTTTTCCTGGTTATAAAAGGCAGAATTGTCGCTAAAATTTACCTGTCTTTGGAGGTCTTCATCGCCAATTTCCTCCTGGCTGGCACCCTAGTGCACTTCTGTTCCTCCTCTCCACTCGACTCATCCAACTTGAACGTGAAACCCTTTTTCGGAGTTCCTTCCTGTTATAACAGAAATAATGTCTGCCAGGGCTCGAAATACCACCTACGTATGCAGTTTAAGTGCGAAAAAAATTTGTGTCGTGCAGGTATTTCTGATGTCTACCTGCACCTAACCTGCACTGGTCCATGTACTGGGTATATGCAGGTTAGTGCAGGTAAAATTGGAGCTGTGCGGGTATTTTTGATGTCTAACTGCATCTAACGGTTAAACCTGCACTGGTCCATGTACTGGGTATGGAAAGGTAGGTACGGCAGTCAAATTCAATGTTAGGCAATGATTCAGCGTCTTTCGTATTTGACTAAGCCTATGGATTTTGCTACCAGTACAATTGGGTTATTGGGTGAGACAACTACATCGAAATAACCCAAGATAGACATTTTATATCCATAGTCTCTTCACACGTCAGGTAGGGACACCCCTAGACAGTCTTTTGTTTAGCACAATGGGTACTTATAAAGATATTAGCGTTCCTCCCCCTACATTGCCTTGGCTTTGTGCAGTGATTTTCATGTGCATGCTAGTTTTCACAGTTTTTTTTCTGCAGACATTCTGACAGACACCTCATGAACAATGGAAAACACAACAAGCAAGTCCTCCCCAAAAAGACCCTGTAAACACCTGGGAAAGACATTCTTACAAATATTTTAAAAATGTCCAGAACTTTCAAGAATGTCCAATGTCCGTTAGCCATTTTTTATAGACATTTTGGGCTCTACTAGTGGAAGGACCCTACTGATCTTAACTAATGCTGGACATGCAACTCTCCTTAAAGACAGGAATCACAAGGATGTCCCTAACCAAAGCTTGGTACAGTGATTTTCACTTGAGAATCATTAACAAAATGTATTAGTTTTGTATCAAATCCGTACCTTCATACAGTCAAACAGTGTGGCCTCAGTGGTAGTTGAAGCCATCTTCTTCCTTTTCCGGAGAGTTTCTGAGGTGGTGCTCTTGTCTGACCCTCTGTTGGTGGGCGTCTTCCGATCTACGAACTAATGAAAAAAAAAATAGCATGACGTATATAATTAGTGTAAAATTCATCCAGTAACTTTTGTTTGCGCAATTTCCGTAATGACCCCACCCCATGAATTTTTTTTAGGCCACACCAAATTAATTTTATGGATGACATCCGCGCGCGCATTGATTTTCGCCTGTTCTCAAAAAAAAAAAAAAAAAGATCATGTCTTCGGAGGCTCTAGGCCTGGGTAGTCAGTTCATGGTAGTTAGCGACAATACGGAGCCGGTGGTATCTCTGGAGGATGGCACCTAGATCACCGAAGCTCCTCGACGGCAAGAACCCAGTACATACGCACAGTGCCGATTTATAAAATCTACAGAAAAGCCAGCATGTGCGCCGGCTTGTACGTTGTATACGTCGCTATCTACTGCCGCAAAATTCACAATACCAGCTTTGTATTCCTGTGGCTTAGCAGCATTTTTCTTCTTGGCCGGAATTTTTTTATTCGCCCGCGCACACTAGTTTGGTGGTCTTCAGAGGATGTTATCCATAAAATCAAGTCGTTGTGGCCTGTTCCACTTGTCTTGACCAAACAAATAACCTATAGAAACGGCACTCCTTTGCGCACTACAATAGCTAAGCGTAACACCTTAACACACCTTACATATTATACATACTTAGGGTCTTATCTTATAAGTTTGTCACAACAGAACAACAGAAGTAAGCTTAGGAGTTCCCGTATTGGTGGGATCTTCGCTTGACCAAGTTTACTATAGATAACGTGTTGAAATGACACGTTTAGTTTGACTTATAGCAGACAGCTTTTTCAACATACAGACAACGGACCACAAAATCCCTCCATGTGTTTAATGTCGAATGTTCGCTGTACAAAGTGTAAATATGGGAGTGAAAGCAAGAGTTTGAAAGTAAGTGTGTCCTAAAATCCTAAAGTTGTCACCATCTTGCATGGTACATGTCTTGATTGTTTATAATTGGTGTGATTTTTCTTGTAGGCATACACACATCGAACGCATTTCTACAGGTAACGATCGCGGTGGAAGTTTTTAGAATATATAGAAGAGATTTTGCAATGTACAAAGGTGAATTTTATATAAAATCATTCTTTATTCGCAAATAAGAAAGGGACATTGAGCCCAGGTCACGTCGGCCATGAATTATGATCGTACATGCAGGGAAACATTAAACACATAACATTGTGATACAATAGAGGTGATTTTTAGAATGTACGGAGCTCAAATTTAGAGTGTATGGCGGTGATTTTTAGAATGTATGGGGGGAGATTTTTATAATGTATGGAAGGGATTTTTCGAATGTGAAGAGGAAATTTTAGTATGTATAGCTGTAGGCTCCGTGTAGGCCTTTATTGTTCTAAAAGTGTCTTTGTGAAATGTTTATAAAAAAGATCATGTCCACCGAGGCTCTGGTCTGGGTAGTCCATGGTAGTTAGCAACAATACAGAGCCGGCACCCAGGCTACCGAAGCTCCACGACTAAAGAACTCAGTGCATACGTACAGTGCCGAGACTGCCGACTGATAACTTCGGCAAAAGCCAGCATGTGCCGGCTTGTTGTATACGTTGGTACATGTATGTACTGCCGTAAATTCACAACACCAGCTTTGTATTCCTGTGTCTGTGATTTAGTAGCATTTTTATTTTTGGCCGGATTTTTCTTTTATTCGCCCGCGCGCACTAGTTTGGGGAACTTCAGAGGATGTCATCCATAAAATTAAGTCGGTGTGGCCTTACTTTACTTTAAAACACGAAATTCAGACACATTTATAGAAAGAAAGCACTGCAAAATTTTCTGCACTTACTGTACTTTTTTCGAGTCAGCCCCCCCCCCCCCCCCCCCAATAGTTCAAGTAAGTCTTCATGTAGCCGTGGACGACTCTAGTATCCATTTTGCATGATAATGCAGGGTTGGACAAGTCCCATTGCCCACCTGAGTTTTCCGGGTAGTAGACTGTTTTTCCGGCGGCGTGTCTTCCACCAGGATGACACTCGCTGCGGGGTCACACTCTTCTTCAAGTCCGGAGGGGCCCCCGAAGAACAACGCGAGAGGTCTAGCGCGCGACACATCTACCTCTTTCTCTGATGCTTCGGGAACATTTTCCGACCTCTGGACTTTCCTGCGCTTCGAACATTGCTGCACTACAGATCTTTTACGCGAAGAGTAAAATTCGGTGACTCTTGTGCTTGTGTGTGCCATATTGAAACCACGCCAAATTGGCGCGCCACCTGTTTTTAGCTGATTGGACGGAACCAATTTCACTGAGTAGCCTTACAAATAAAATACAATACAATACTAACCTAAAGTAAGCGGAAATTAAGTGCTAGCTCTTTATATATATATCATCAAATTGTCATGAAAATCGTTAATTTTAAAAATCGTTAATTTCGATTGTTTTTCATTATTTTACTAAAAGTAGTGTTTTTTATATCACCTTCATAACCCCCCTATAATACTTAGTGGACGAACCATAACAATTTGGGCCAATCAGAGAAGTCCGTGCCCTTATGGTTCCGGGTCGGAGTTTAAATTTGCGCGCCACCTGTTTTTAGCTGATTGGACGGAACCAATTTCACTGAGTAGCCTTACAAATAAAATACAATACAATACTAACCTAAAGTAAGCGGAAATTAAGTGCTAGCTCTTTATATATATATCATCAAATTGTCATGAAAATCGTTAATTTTAAAAATCGTTAATTTCGATTGTTTTTTCATTATTTTACTAAAAGTAGTGTTTTTTATATCACCTTCATAACCCCCCTATAATACTTAGTGGACGAACCATAACAATTTGGGCCAATCAGAGAAGTCCGTGCCCTTATGGTTCCGGGTCGGAGTTTAAATCTGACCAGAGTAAGTGCGCAGTAAATCGCCGGAAACGTGACTTTGTATGGTATGTTTTGGCCGCGATATCCCTGAAATCGTAACATCTGTGTACATATCGTTGTATTTTCTGAAGAGCCTGTTAGTTGTAGCCTTTATAGGTGGCGTAATGTTGGTGGTCCAGCTAAGACTTCCTGGTATTCGTCCGCGCGGATGGTTATGTGGCCTTTTCGCCTGACCGCCGGGATGGTACGTTCTATATGCGTTCTGGGTGTGTTCGGGCCATCGAAGATAGCGATAAACTTATCGCATCGATTTTAATTAAATTCAAATTTTGGAAACATTAGGTTCTGAGCTTCTTCGAGTACTAAGCCGTTACCCTGGGAAAATTCGTTTTTTCCATGCAGCCATGGTTAAAAATGACGAAAAAAATGACCCCTTTTTTCAAAATGTACTTTGATGTGCCTCATTTACCCCTAAATAAATTGGGCGCAGATAAATCAAGCGTATTGATAAGCGGCACGGCACCCCTTTCCACCAAAAGAGTGAAAAATTCCGACCCGCGTTTAGTACAGAAATGACAGCCCGTCGGGCTGAGGGTGTCAAATTGCTCGAAATACGGAGGGAAACTCCGGTCCGAGACCTTTTCACGGTTCCGCGTCTGCGCACTGCGTTCTAGGAGTCGCAAGGCACTGTGGGTAATCCAGGGGACAGGGAGGGGTTTGCGCAGATAGGCTGGTCGACGATTATTTTCTGTTTAATGTTATTTTATAGAATTTATTCTGGGGTTAATTCTGGACAGATTTTGCCAGTTTTCTGTCAGGTAGACCAGGTTTACTTTTCAAATCTAGACAGAACTTGTGACCTCAGTGTCATATAGTGGTGTTATGTTACAGCCAAGTCACACCCCCAGAAGCAGACGATTCCAAGCTGGAGGTTCAAAGGTCAGTATTTGTTTGGATTCACCAGCTGATAGTCCTTTAAATTGCCGGAGTCGAAGCGTTGGTTTTTCCGCAAACGGCAAGTTGACATGTTTAGCTATCCAATGGTTGGGAGCTTTCGGAGCTTGAATTTCATGGTAAGTGTAGTTTGAAGCCTTGAATTTGCCTGTTTTTGTACAGATATGATTTTTTTTTCTGGCAGGATATGGTGGACCCTCCCCACAAAGAGAGATAAAGATGGCGGAGTTGATGGATTTCAGTCAATGAGATGTTCAAAAACTGCGATCATTTCTTATTGAGAGAAATACCGGTACATGACAAGCGCAAAGAGGAACTGATCCAGTTGTGCAACGCTGCACAACTAATAGGCTTGCCAAAGGTACTCTCTAACGCTGGCCATTCTGCCAGTCTCGAACAATCTGTCACGCAAAAGCTGACATAATTTGGACGGCGGTTTGATTACGCTACCCAACCCAACTTCTTTGTCTGCAGGATGGGAAGCAGACGGATCAAGTTTACCTGAGCTGCTACAAGCAGGTGTGGAAAAGTACTTTGAGAGAAGTGAGTTTCGCCGAAAATCCTTGCTATCGACGTTTTGTTCGGTTCTTTGGTTTGCTATAATGAAACTTTATTGCATGTTCATTCCCCGGGGGGATAAATGCATGAATGTACATAGTACAACATACTAGAAAGAACTTACAATAATGATAATAAAGGGAGGCTAACATAGAGTCTAAGGTAGATAATACTAAAGCTAAATGCTAAAGCTAAATGCTAGAAAAGAACTATATACAAAGAAGTATCAATCTAACTCTAAGTTCTAATGGCTTCTTCTCTCTTTTTGAAACATTTCGAAATATACTTACACACCTCATTGCTGACATCTATATTTGTACATGACATGATCTATTTAAAAATATCTTCTTTTGATAATGTTTTACATTTTTTGTCTAGTTTAATTGAACTGAACAAAGATTTGCGTTCATCATTATATAATAAACAGTCGAGTATAAAATGCGATTCATCTTCAATACAAGCATTGTTACAGAATTTGCAGAGTCAATCTTGTACCGGAGTACGGTTATGCCTGCCAGATTCTACGTGTAGAGGATGGTCGCTAATACGGAGTTTAGACAAGGCTCTGCGGTTTTCAAAATTTGGAATGTCTAAATATGGTTCTCTGTCGTATAGTACTTTGAATGTTTTGTATGTTCTCAGTTTGTTTCCTTTATTTTCTCTTTGTCCTGGTGCTTGTAGTACTGAGTTGAATTTTTGGATGAACATATCTTTTAATCTTTGTCTTAGTTCATGCAGATGGAATGGTTTGTTCATATGCTCGTGTGTATATAGGCAGGCATAGCCGGACTCCTCTAAAATTGTCTTCATGTTCAACAACCAACAGGGTACTTTACTTCTAACAAGTTCTTTTTGTACAATGAAAGCTTCATACTGGAGGCTTTCAATGGGAACATTTCTAACTAATCTATAATAATAACTATATAATCTACAACACACTTCAATCCATAGAGGGAAGCGGCCAAGTTCGGCTCTGCTTGCATAATTGCTAGCGTTTCTTCTTACTCCTAGAATTTGTTTACAGAATTTTAAATGTGTTTGTTCGAGCGGCGAGTTGTCTTTTAATCTATTGTTGCACCATACTTCCGCTCCGTACAATAATATAGGGACAACACATTGATCAAAAAGTTTAAGGTACACTGATATAGGAGCTCTAGTGTCTCCGAGAGTACTTTTAATAAAGAACAACGCTCGTATGGCCTTCTTTTGTAGTAATTTCATCGCTGTGTTAAAGTTATAATATAGTTGGTATAAGTTTGTGACATTTGTTTACGTCCTGTTGCATGTTCTATGTTTGCTAGTAAAAGCACCTGCAGCATACGTACACGATGGAAATGTTTTTGACATCTTGTTTACCTGTTCCAACGGTTTTGTTCGTATTTTTGTCATTGCAACATACTGACATGATGAAGACTTTGTACATTCTTGACATTCTGTAATGTGTAACATGTTCTTACTCACCTTTCTTACTGTTTGTTTTATTTGCATATGTTTTAGCATCTGCAGCATACATTCATGATGAAAATTTTTAAAGAACTTGTTTACGAGGGTAAGTGTGCACAAGGTATTATTTCTTATCTTAATATTATCTTAATATCAACAGATTGTAAAGGCATGTTCTTTACTTCACCCCAGAGGAAGAGTTCAAACATAATTTTGGCATTTATAATCTAACTTCTGCTTTGTCATACTTCTGTCCATTGTACCTGGCTAATTTTTTTACTGTGCAATGAGTTTTTGTTGAATTTATATATGATCTGTACAGAGGTCAAGACGTTTAAGTGACAGGGATGCTGATGTGTTTCACTTCACTTTCACTTTATTTATGTGTTGATGTGTGTATCTCATCATACCAATTTCAGAAAACAAGGATGTCAACATTACTACAGCAGGCAAGGAGGCTCTCCGTGACGGAAAAAGTCTGCACGTTTCGGGACACGTCCAGAATCTCCGTGTCCATGCAGCTCATCCTGACAGCCCCTACTGTTTTGTGCGCTGCAGCACTGTCAGAGAAACCAGTGTCTCCCTCCCACCATATGACACTTGGATCATTGTCCACAAATCCAGAAACATCCTGGTTGACGGTTATTGCACCTGCCCTGGAGGGTATGTGAATTTTAGCAGCCTTGCCACATGTACATTAACCTGTCCATTTGTTGTCCTTACAAAGTCTTAGTTGTGATAAGTAGTTGCGTGTTGATGACCAGGTCTAAGTCAAATAATTTCTTTGTGATTGTTCTTTTTTAGTATTCGAGGCACCTGCAAGCACGTCACAGCATTGTGAATACAAAACAAATGAAAATTCTGACAGCAAAATGTCTTTCAGGCTGCGAAAAGGTGAATACATGTAATGCCCTGCAGTTCTCCACAATATATATAATGTAATACTATATATTCTATACTGAGGGAAAATCAAAAGAGGCACTGGGTGTTATACATGACTAATTACAAATTGGTCAATGTTATACATGACTAATTACTAGTACTCAATTTTTTTTTCATGATGTAGGAACATTTTTCCTTTCATTAAGTAAAGATAGCAACATTCCAACTTGACCATCTTTCCTGATTGGTGGTGTTTTCCCCAGAGCAGAAATCAAAGAACGTAAAGTAACACAAGTCAACTGTTGTAGAATAGTCTGCACAAGCACGTCGGCAGAACGTACTGCGCCTGTGCACAAACCTGTAGTTTCACGGTTTTCGGTGGAAGTTTGGTCAACGTTGCATCAGAATTTTGCCTGTTGCAGAGGATATCTTTTCCGACATAACATTTGGAAACTACAGACAGGATGTTTTCCTTATATGCGCAAATACAACCCTATATGAGACATTCTACCAAAGTGCTATGTACAATACATTATGGATTTCGCGCAGGTGCAGTACGTTCTGCCGACGTGCTGTCTGCACAGTCTGGAAAGAAGATCAAGATGTTCAATGGCCTCTTTTGACTTTCCCTCAGACACAAGACTGGAAATCATACCATGAATAGTGCAAGAGGAAGATGCTTTGCGTTCAGTTCCTTTCTTCTGAGTCACTGTGCTCTTCTCACTCTGACTACTTGAAGAATGTGTGGCCTGCCTTATAATGCCATACTAGATTTAGATGGCAAAAGGTCCTCCTGTTGCCTGAAACGTTTCTGTTTAGACTTCAGAAACGTACACACAATGTTTTGGAGGAGGCCAACTTTGCTGGACAGTGGTTCATCTGGTACTGAACAGGAGTGCAACATTTTGAAGTATTGCTCCCGCAGATACCTACACTGGCTTAAGTATGTATGTGGTTAATCGTAATAAATAAATAAATTAATTAAGTCTAACATGACATGTTGCAAAGTATTGCTTTTGTTAACATTCTTCAACATACGACTCACTAGAGTATCCAGGATAGAGTAGAAATCGATAACAGGAGGATGTACTTTCACAACAAACTTGTCATCCTTCTTCACATCATAACACAACTTATCCAAACTAGACAACATGGAAGTATTACTAGCATAACAGACAGTTGGGTCTGTTGAAGACTTTTGGAGCTCACATGTCCCATCTGATACTTTAATGCTGTCTCTGACCGACTTCAGAACCCACCCACTATGGTACTCTCTTGTTTGCCTTTCAGATTCAGAGAGCACAAGCAGACACAGGAATTTGCAGTACATGACTGGTTGGAGGATTGACCAGAGATGAAGGAGCCGAGACAAAGCGTGTAGTCCAGAGATGTTGGAGCACAAGGTTGAGAAGAACATGTACTTCATGACAAGAGAAAGGAAAGTCATCCAGCAGTGTTTCACCAGGGACTTGAGGTGAAGAAGGAGGAGGACAAGAAGATGAAATGTTTGAAAGGGAGTGGGTGGAAAGCAGGCAAAACTGTAGGAGCACTGTAGGAAAGGTTCTTATGTACAAAGGAAGCCGACTTGTCAGAGCAAACAGAGTCAACAGTTAGTACTGGCTCTCCAGAAGAAGAAGCATATGTGTGGTCACTTGTTTCATTATCATTCTGTAGACTCTAGTCTGTGATGGTAAAGCATATGTATGATCAAAAGCAAAAGTACTTGAGTCGTGTACAGGTTTGAAAACATCAAACCAGTGCTGTAGGATGTCAGGATGAGAACATAGTGAAGCAAACTGTTGTTCGATAACAATATCTCTCTGTGTCTGATGAGACTTCGGAATTGTACATGCAAACTGGTGACATGACTGAAAATGATGTGTTAACGTGGAAACAAAAACACTACAGGACTCTCGAACTGAAGTATTGCTCTCAACATGGTCAACCAAAATACTTGCCAACTTATTGTTACGGTCTGAACTTAGATGGTGCAAGAAAGACACAAGACGAGGCGTGCTGACTCCAGGAAAGCTAAATGTTGAGTTTGGCGACACATGATGTAGTGGTTCTTGAAGGTGGAGTGAAGGAGTCCGACAAGCAATTCTCGTCAGAAGAAGAAATGTAGCCGTGGCGCAGCACTCGGAGAGACTTCAACTCAGAATACATGTTTTTATTCTAGTAGGAGTAACATGGGACTTGTAGGTTTTATTTGGTTGGTTTAGAGGGATGTTATCGTCCTGCATTCTCAAACCATTAGTGCATGTGATGCCTTTATTGTCATATTTACTGTGACTGGTTTCATTATAAAGATGTCATTACTAGCCAGAAAGTCCCCTGCAGTTCCAGAACAAGCTGCTAGGGGTACCAAACCCATACTACTTATTCCTGACAGAAAAATCTATCTGTCACCAAAAAATCAAGACCATAGCATGTTCAGGACAAAAGATACAAAAACCGGAAGTTCTACTGCAGTATCATGGTCATCCACCAGGAAGCCCATATTTGAACTTGACCTTCGTCTTCCTAAGACCTACCAATGCACACTGTCTGAATCACAAAGGAGACCAACTATTAAATCCCTGTTTGGGGACTAGTTTTGCGAGACCATCGTTCAGTTTGGCAAGTTAGGTACGCAAAAACGTCAAAATCTTGCACAAGTCACAGGATTGAGTACATCCAGAAACGCGCGTGTCGGGTAATACTCGGGTCGGCTTATACTTCATACCCAGAGGCATGTGGAACACTGGACTTACCTACACTAGAAGACCGAAGGGTCCAACTTTGCCTGAACTTTGCTAGGAAAGTTCTCCGATCACAGGACTTCCAACACTGAATACCGCCCAGGAGGGGCACCACTGAGCGCACCACTCGTTCCAGTAATAAACTGACTCTTACCAAGTGTAGTTCAACTGAGCGGTACAAACAGAGTAGCGTCCCGTACATGATCCACCTCTTAAACAGTCGCTGTTTGTCTTAGACACAGTATGTCAACGATGTTGTAAATAATGATGTGGACATTTGTGTTAATATTTGTGTAAATAATATGCCTCATTTAACTTTGATGTACAACTGGACGTAATTCAGCCTTTGGCTGCAAAGTCCACGTTTTTATGAATAAAACACCATTTGATTGATTGATTGATTGATTGATTGACAAGTCTGTTGAAACAGTAAGTAAGGTCAGAAACTGGCGAAGAAAGTTTCAAATTTGAAACCTCCGGCGTAATAATACCAATAGAATAATTACATTTTATTCCAGTAGTCGAGGACGTTACAACTTGTATGCACAAAGTGAGGCTCCCAAGCACTATAAACGTCACACCTTCAACCCCGAAATCGGAAGGCAAAACTTGCCGTCAACAAACCCGTCCAAAAACGGACACTTCTACATTTCCAAGGCGATAGTTTGGAACACCAGGTGATGGTTACTACGACTACAAACATATTTCTTTTGGCAAATATAAATTAATACACTCTTAGAAAATGACGCTACTTTTGCAGTACTGGTACAATAATGAATACAAAGTGTTTTTGATAGGGAATACACAATATGATGGTAGGAACTATGTTCACATAAATGTGCGGTAACAGTATGTGCACAAAAATGCAGGACAATGTTTGATACAAGTACATGTACACGGTTGGGTGAGGAAAACAGTACAGTAATAGTATGATGATAAACAAGATGAGAAAATTATAATGGAAACAATTCAGTGGTCTTGATACACGCTACAGCAATATTCACAAACTATCCTGACTCCCCACCACAGAATGGTATCTTCTACAGGTCAGCAATATCATCATAATACATGATACAAAGCTGGACAAGTCTACTTCAGAATGGGGGGGAAGGCTACATGTTTTTACAGCAGCGTTAAGAATTACAAAAAAAAACTTTTAACAAAAAATAAATGCCCTAAGACAATCATACATTACACAATCAGCAGATGCATTTTTATAACACTATGATGATCTAATATAGAGGAAAATTATTCAAATCATTTGGGGTGTTCCAAAATATCTTGGCCTTCCGATTTCTTAAATGTTTGAGACGACTTTGGGCGGAGGTGGTTTGACAAGAAAATGCTGACAGGAGCTCTTGCACTGATACATACACAAGATTTGAGCTACGGTACTTACAATAATTAAGGAACCTAACCCCCACCCAAGGCGTCTTGATCCTCGACTCCACGTCTTAACACTATTCCTTGGTGCTTCTTGCCTCCGAAACTCAAGATTATAATACATTTAGACGGTTAAGCACCTATCAATGCTACCCTAGGGGGGTGGGATATTGTAACAATGGTGCAGCCCCTATGGGGTGTAATGAATGTTGGAGGTGACAATACAAAAATGGCCCTTTAGTGAGTAAATCTGGGGTTGACATTGATAGGAGCCCTAGTCCTTGGCTACGCAACCCCCCTGTGCATCTATCAAGGTAAAGACACCACACAAAGATTGGTCCGGGGAAGGGGGATAGCATTTAGAGAAACTCAGAAGTAAGTGTCTTTCTAAGTCAAGTTTCTTCAAATCTTGAGACAATTTTTCAACTGGGTTTTGTAGTTCCAAACCTAACAACCCTACGATATGGCTACTACAGTTGTACACAACATAAGTGGGGACAAAATTTTAAGTCCTCTTCTTTCCAAATTGCCCAGAACTCTCAAGAGATGGTTGGATGTTTTGGACGTTTCTGTAGTGGTTCGTTCTGTCCTGATAGGTGCAGTAGGGTGGTCGTGCAAGGAATCATGTACAACAAAACTGACAAGCAAAAATAACTAAAAGCTCGTCCCAAAGTGAACTAACATTGCAGACAGTTCTTTCCTCTCTGTCTGTCTGTCTGCGTCCGGTTTGGAAATTCCTCCCTTACAAAGTGCCTGACATCCTGGCACGTGTCGGTACCAAAACTGCTACAGCTAATTATCGTTACAATTCTGCCTCAATTTTCTCTCTTCTTTTTTATATACTCCTATAATACAAGCAACGAGAACCAAAAACTAAACTTTTGTAGTTAACTAAACTGCTTGCTGCAGTCCTCACACTTTCTAGGGTTTCTCACCAGTGTGAGTTTGGATGTGAGTCTTCAGACTACTCAGCTGACTGAACTGCTTGCTGCACTCCTCACACTTGTAGGGTTTCTCCCCAGTGTGAGTTTGGATGTGAGTCTTCAGACTACTCAGCCGACTGAACTGCTTGCTGCACTCCTCACACTTGTACGGTTTCTCCCCAGTGTGAGTTTGGATGTGAGTCTTCAGACTACTCAGCCGACTGAACTGCTTGCTGCACTCCTCACACTTGTAGGGTTTCTCCCCAGTGTGAGTTTGGATGTGAGTCTTCAGATGACTCAGCCGACTGAACTGCTTGCTGCACTCCTCACACTTGTAGGGTTTCTCCCCAGTGTGAGTTTGGATGTGAGTCTTCAGATTACTCAGCTGACTGAACTGCTTGCTGCATTCCTCACACTTGTACGGTTTCTCCCCAGTGTGAGTTTGGATGTGAGTCTTCAGATGACTCAGCCGACGGAACTGCTTGCTGCACTCCTCACACTTGTACGGTTTCTCCCCAGTGTGGGTTTGGATGTGAGTCTTCAGATCACCAAGCTGACTGAACTGCTTGCTGCACTCCTCACACTTGTACGGTTTCTCCCCTGTGTGAGTCCGCATGTGTTTCTTCAGATCACCCAGCTGACTGAACGTTAACTGCTCTCACACTTGTACGGTTTCTCCCCAGTGTGAGTTTGGATGTGAGTCTTCAGATGACTCAGCTGACTGAACTGCTTGCTGCACTCCTCACACTTGTACGGTTTCTCCCCAGTGTGAGTTTTCATGTGAGTCGTCAGATGATCCAGCCGAGTGAACTGCTTGCTGCACTCCTCACACCTGTAGGGTTTCTCCCCAGTGTGAGTTCTGATGTGGCCCTTTAGATGATCCAGCCGAGTGAACTGCTTGCTGCACTCCTCACACTTGTAGGCCTTTTCCATTCTGAATCTGCAAAGAGACAAAACAAAGGATCATTAAAACCCAAATGAAAATTTTGACATTGAGCCCCTACTGTAAGTTGGTGGCATTTTTATGTTTACCGAAGGAAAACATATTGTTTTTGCTCAGTTTGTTCCTCTTCTTCTTCTCCAATGACCTCTGACCTGCCCAATGTCATAATTTGTTTACACCTGTCAGCATGGCGTCTGGTGTTGGGATACATAAATTATTATTAATGTTGCAATTTCATGGTCTGCTCTGCTCCTGTCACAATATACTAGTAGTACAGTCATGTATGTGAATGTGTTTGAGTAAGAAATAACAGAGCAGACCATGTCTTAAGGTAAACATTACGCATCTGCTTTGTAAAGTTAATGTTAATTCTCTAGTTTTGAATTTAAATGCAAATGATGTAGGAATGATGTAACAGTGAGGGGTTCATAGGCGCTACCAACTGATCCAGCCGGGCGGTCTAGTCCTTTTAGCCGAGTGGTTTGAGCGTCAGGATTTGAAAGATGAACAATAAGAAATACTCCAAAACTGGAAATGCATTTACATTGCAACTTGTATTAGAATATATTATACCAGTTACATCTCCTAAAGTGTTAGTTCATATAAAAGATTCGTAAACCCTTAATGAGCCTAAATTATTTAAGCTATCTCCATGTGACGGAAAGTTCCCGCCATTTTCGGCGGCGCGGAAAACTTCAAAATTACAAGCCAAGATTTGTCAAAATTTGACCTCACAACTATGTTAAAGAAACACACCTTCAGAGAAATCACATGCTAAATTTACATACAGCAACAATATTCAAAGAACATGCACTTGAATATGCACAGCATTTGTTTTAAGTTCTAAAAACGTTTTTGTCTGAGGCAAGAGCATATTATGCTTTTTCAGGGTTGCCGACTTGCCGTTACAAATTGGATGCCACTCAGGCTACATATACTTTGTTAATGGGACAAAAGAAGAGCAGTCAACATTCAGTCAAAAGTACACAGTATATCATGACCAAATAACACTTGTTAAAAATACATCTCACACAACCTCAAACATTGCCAGCTACATACATGTAACCATCATATCAGTAGTGATAGTCAACAAACTAATGCAGCATATGAATGGGGTATAAAATACAAGACACCGATGGATGTTCCGTCAGACAACTTAAATGAAGCCGTTACCCCACTTTCCGAATAAAGATCACGTTAATTCTCGCTCTGCCGAGATCTCGCGAGCACACACGAAAATATGCACTACAAAGTTTATGATGAAGAATAATTAAAATATGTTACAGCTGACCACATTTGAAGAGGCAAAAAACATTTTCAGAAGGAAACATGGCTAAAATTTAGAAACAATAGAAAATGAATACAGGCTTACCAATAGAGTTGTAGTAGCCTCAAGCAGATTACTGTCCTTTTAGTGGTAAATTAAAGGGACAGTTTGTAACATTTTTTTTCACCGAAAGTTGTAATATTTTACCTAGTGTTGTAATTTACTTTTCAACATATTTGTGTAATTAGCTCACATTTCTGACATTTATGGTTAGCTATGAAATAGCCCACACGAGGTGCACTCAGTTTGTGGTTCCACCACAAACTACCAGAATTTAAACAGACACAACTGACAGCTGTCTTTCACTTTCAAGGTCAAACATTCTCGTAAGGCATCATATTTTGGCACCTCCACTTCATGAATGGTACTCTAGGAGTACAGTTGATTCAACTTGATTTGTAAACAAATGACCAGAAAATTTACTTTCTTTATCATCCTAAAGTTACCTAATGTGCTTTAAATCGAACTTACAGTACAGTACACGTATATACAGATTAGCCTGGGCATGTGTGTTACATGTCCTTGGTGCTGAAATCCTGGTTGACTTTCAGTAGCAGTAGCCCATAGTACCTGTCCTTGGACTATGCTTTAGTTCATAGTGGTTGACTTCTCTGTAATGAGAAGAGGAATAGTAGCTCTTCAGTGACATGAAACTTGATCACTCTCACTTTCATTTTAAGTGGGTGTGGTCTTATGGAGCTGAACAACAGAAAAACACCAGGGCCCCTGGGGAAATTACGTGTCTGAGTTTTGACTGCTCCCTTAGAAACAAACACACCGCGATAGCCATCATATAGC